TGCAGTGGTTGGTGCTGCAGTTGTTGGTGCTGCAGTGGTTGCTGCTGCAGTTGTAGATGTTTGTGATGCAGTCAGTGGTGCTGCACTTGATGGTGCTGTAGTGGTTGGTGCAGTGGTGGGTGCTGCAGTTGGTGATGCTGCAGTTGTTGCTGCTGCAGTTGTGGATGTTGGTGATTCAGTCAGTGGTGCTGCACTTGTTGCTGCCACAGTTGTTGCTGCTGCAGTTATGGTGGTTGGTGCTGCAGTTGTTGAAACTGTCAAGAAATAATTTCCAGATTGCCATAAAAATATCTTTGCATGAGATCATAGTGATTTAGATGAACCTCCAGTCTTTACTGGAGCTCTGACCATATAAGCCAAACTCTGCAAATCCTCCATTTTATTTTGATTTGTATTCTGTCTTTTACAGAGCAAAGCATTCAGTGTAAAACTGAACTCTAACTCAGTTTTTCAAGTGTTTAAAATTTTCATTGTTATCCTTTCATGTATAGTTTTAGTTACTTTTATTGGTATGTTTATTAGAGAGTTATTAAATGGTGCTGGTGTCTTATCTTTTTTAATTTATTTGCACATTTACTTCTTTTAATTAAATTTTTCTTTTTTTTTTTAATCACAAAAAGAATTCTTTAAACTTGAACTTTGACAAATTCTGAGAAGTGTTTTGCTGTTGTTGTGTTTTTCTCATCTGCTGATTTATATGCACAAAAAATAGTGAAAAGTAGATAGAATAGAATAGAATAGAATAGAACTTTATTGATCCCCTTGGGGAAATTGCTGATGACCCTTTTAGCCCTTTTCATTTCTTTCATTTACCTTTCAAAATGTAGACAGCTGCACCTGAGTCTGTGTGTCAGCCTGTATTTATGTTAAAGCTCTTGTTTATGATTCTCCAGATGTCCTTGACACAGAACCATTTAACCATTAGTTACCCTCTTGAAAGTAAACCAACTGAATTAATCTACTGCATTCAACCATATGTAATGAAATGCTTAGGCGACTTGCTGTACAACTAACTTAATCAGGTATTAATCAAGTTTAAAGATTGTTTAGTCTACCTGTCATGCATGTATTCATTCTCATGATTCGTCAGTGTGTTGTCATTCTAAGCAACTAATGGACACTTTTTTGGTCTGATTTTTGCTGTTTGATCTGGCTGACAGGAATGTTGAAGAACTGTCATGTCCAGAATAAAGAAGAGTTACCTATTCATATTACCTTATTTTAGCTACTCAGGATTACACGTCTGCTCCTCTGAAAACCATAAAGATATCACTCGTAATGAATATTTACCTTGTGCTGAAGCCGCATGAAAACATACAAGCAAAAATATCCAACAAAAGAATTTAGTTTCCATGTTGAGTGGTGTTCATCGAACTGTTCTCTGTCCAAACCGGTTTCTCGGTGTATGACTTTGTGCCAAGTCTGTGAATTGCTCCTCCTTCAGCGATTCAGTGGGAGTGACAAGGTACCAGTCACAGAGGCTTCTTCCACAGTAATGTGACACAGGCTGTCAGAATATAACACAATACAAACAAGCCCATAAAATACATTTCAACAAATCTGCAGTGACATCCAGCTTCTAATTGACAGTCCATTTCTGTAAAAATCGTAACAAGTTTGTGTATTGTGAGTTCGCCTGCTGTACGAATCCCTTTAATTTTACTGGAAGGAGGATTAGTCTTAATCATGAAATTACTCAGTCATATTGTAAGCTATAGCGCTGAAGGGGAACGCTCTGAGAACATCATTCACAGTTCATTCACGAGTCTTTGGAACAGGTTGTGTTTGATTTCAAGATGGACGACAACTTAATGACACACATCAGAACAGGAACAAAGAGATTATAGTCTAAACTTCAGCTGTTTTATGGTGGTAGTAGATAATGATTTTAACTTTTTTAGTTTGAATGATACTTGTTTAGATTCCTTTCTGCTCTTATTGCATGAAACCGCTACTGTTATTCAAATACCATTTACCCATCCATTGACATTTTGTTGCCACGAGAAAAAATGTAACTAATACAAGGGAAAAAATACACACACACACACACACACACACACACACAAAAATGACTGGAGCCAATTCATAGACATAAAAGCAGTGGTTATACATAAATTGTCATTACGGGATTCTACCAATTATAATCTACCAAGCAAGAGTTTCAGTAATGTGGTTTTCTAAATGATTATGTGACGTATAGAGAAAAATCTTCAAAGTTCTAAAGATGCCAAAGATTCTGACAGATAATGTTATGATTTTATAATATAATTTAGAACCTCCTAATTTTGGAAAAAGAGGCCAGAGGGGGAAGTACAGTGCCATCAACTGGTTAAAATTCCATTGCTATTCAGCCATTACTGGAAACTGACATCAAGGCTGTCAAACAGGTTTTCGTTTTACTTTTTGTTTATAGTGCAGTTCTTCTATTCCTCTGCTCTCTGTGTTTTTGGTTGCATCAAACAGAACTATTCTCTATTATGACTGTACTATCATCGTTTAAGTTTCATCTACATGATGTGTCCTCTTAGCTCAACTCTTATTAAAAACTTCACAGATTCTCTCCAACAGTATTGAGCGCTCTTCCAAAACAATGAATATCCTGTTTTGATTAGGAAACAAGCAAATCAACCATGCCTATGAATGCATACAAATGTATTTTTCACTCATTCTAATTGTGCTTTTCCTGACTAAATGACTTGTTGTTGTCTCCTAAATGCTGTTCTGAAAAGACACCATTTGTTTTTATGTTTGTAGTGTTACACAACATTTAATAACTGCATCAGTGTTTTGAGTCAGTCTTAAATATCTTAATTCAACTGCTGTATCTCCAAGTCTAAAAATACCAAAATAACCAGTCAGAAATGAATTTAAAAAAAAGAAAATGTACAACATTTTCCACTGTACTTCTCATTCGACTTTAATTGAATTTGTTAAAAACACAAAGCAATCAAAGCAAAATAGATCAGTGGTTCCCGCTATGATTATTATTAGAGCGTTTTTTGCTTTTTATTGTATAAAAATACAGTATATGATTGCCTCTTAACTCCTAAAATGATTTTCAAATAAGAAAACGTAAAAACAGTAACATATTTGCATTTTACTTGAATAAACTGCTCAAAGCTCATAGAGGGGGGAAAAAAATGGATAAATATCTGATTATTTTGAAAGTTTACAAACCAAACTGAACCAATCAACGACATACATTTTTCTACAAGACAGATAACACAGCCAACTTAATTTCCTATTTGATATTTACTAAACACATTTATTCACAGTCTTTAGCTCAAACAAATCTTTGGCCACCATGGTACATGCTTCCTTCAGAGTTTAGTCTTAATTACTCTTAATTTAATCACATATCTCCTATACAATCACATTTGAGATCCGACTTACACATAAGCCATAATAAGGTTGAACATGTTTATTTAATCTAACAAATTTTACTCTACGTTAAAGTGCAATTCTGCTTCTTCCCACTGGAATTATGAAATTAAATAAAAAAACAAAAAACCACAAAAAAGAAAAAAAAAACAAAAGAGAAAATGGTGTGTGATTAAGTAGTGTGCACTCATGGAGAGAGCTAGTGCATCCTAACAATCAGTAACACTGAGAGGAAATACTCTTTGTCACTTGCTGTATTGCACGGTGGGGGCAAATGATGTGCATTTTCTTTTTGCGTTTGTTTTCA